ATTGTTTTGGGTGTTTGTGAGGCAGGTTAGTTCTGGCTAAGATGGCCGTTAGAGTCTGGCAGGGATCGAACTCCAGCGTCGCTTACTGTACAGCCTGTCTGGAAAGTTGGCCATCTGTGCCACTGCCAGAGGGCACGTGTGCGTGCTAGAGGAGGGAGAGAGAGAAAGCGTCCCCCAGTGGGGCTCGTCACACTGCGATCCCTCCTCCATTTCTCCATCAGTCGGGATTTGGGGCGTGCACATGCACACACAGGCCCAGTGTGTTTTGTGTTTTTTTTTTATCTTTTTTTTGACCAGAGAGAAAGTAAGAAAGCAAGTCACCAGGTTCAGGACTTGAACTCTGGTCAGCCATGTGGGAGTGTCTGGTATCTTAACCACGCCACCTGCTGGCCCCCCAATGTGTTTTTATGCCACCGAGGCCGGGCTTCTAACTGTAGCTGGCCATGTGGGGCCCACAGGGTGCCCCGAGCCGGCGGGCTGAACCAGCAAGAGTGATGATGTTGGTGCTGGCGGCCCTCAGTAAGCCATGGCCGTGTGCTGCTGCCTCTCCTGAGTGTCACCGGGTGGCGGGGCACCGCTGCCTGATGTTGGCCCTGTGGTAAGGCCCAGGGCTCCATCCTGGGTCGACCTGGACACACACGTGTCCACGTCTGTCAGGAGGTGCTTCGCAAGAGCAGCAAGGCTGGGCTTCGGCTAGCCACGGGGCGGAGGGTGTCTCCACTGCCACGGAGCTGCCATGACCTTCTCTGTCCTCCCACAGAGATCGCCCCCATGATGGCCAAGACGATTAAAGCTTTCAAGAACAGGTTCTCTCGACGGTAGGCTGAGGACGCACCTGGAGAGGGAACTGGTCGGGGCTGGAGGACAAGGACACGGGGGACTGGGGCAGGGGACATTCGGAGGAGACTGGACTCACGCTCGTGAAAACTCGTGGTCTCCGAATCCTGCAGTTGGCAGGTGTCGCCCGCGTGCCCGCCGCCTCCCGGAGCACTGCTGGCACCGAAGATACGAAACCTCCGTCTCACTGAGGGTTCTAAGGTCAATTAGACTTCCCTTATTAATTAGCATCTTTGTAAACTATAAGACATAGTTTTAATTAATAAATATTGCCCCCAGATTGTATTTATATTACCCAGGTTCTGTTCTATTTTATTTTTCCTCTACCACACACTTAGCCTCCCATTCTCCAAGGCCTTTATTACAGTTAGACAAAAGCCACTCCATCCATGGGTTCAACTCTCCCGAGCAGACTGGTCCCGACAGTGGGCCGGGCGCCCCTGTGCCTGTGCGGTGCCCACGGCCTGCCCTCGGAGCCACGGTGGGCACCTCACCGCCGAGACCCTTCTCGGCGCTGCTCCCCGACGCTCGCAGGTGCATCTTTTTCACTCACTGGGCAGTGTCATTAGGAGGCCGCTCAGTGGCCTGGCTTTCCCCATTCTTTTGCCAGCTCCCACTTCCTTTTTTTCGAGGCTCAGGACCTTGGGAGAACAATTTGCACAGATCCCAGCATTTTCATGATTTCCAGTTTCCGAGTCAGTTTTACGTTCCCCCTCCCTCTCGGTGCAGAGGTGCAGGGCTGTCGCCAGTCCCTCCGCGGCACCCGGCTGCGGCGCTTTCGCCTCCTGGTCCCTGCGAGCAGCTGCTCCAGCGAAGGGCTTCAGAGCTGTCTGGGAAGTGGGTTTTGTTTTTGCTTCCCTGTCAAAGGTCAGGTCATGTGACTGGAAGGGCGCAGCAGGGTGCCGGGTTTGGTGGGGGAGCCCAGGAGTGTCCCAGCCGGGGTCAGCGGGCAGGGCCTGAGCTGCAGCCAGGGTGGGGTAGAGGGCGCGGCGCCGGCCCGCTCAGGAAGGCCGGCTCTCGTTTCCAGCCGGCTGAGGAGCAAGTTCAGATCTAGGAGGGCAGTGCCCACCCTCGTCTTGGCTGGCAAGGAGGACGGGTCTCCCAGGAACCACATGGCCGTGACCCAGGTGGAGGTAGAAGCCACGGACGTGGCATGCACATCCTCGAGAAACCCGAGGAGCGGACTGAGGGGTGGGGAGTGACAGCGGCGCGTGGCAGCCCCCCCACAAGCTCTCAAGGCCCGGGGCGCGGAGCCCACCGCCTTCCAGCATCCCGGAGACCTCTGGCTAACGGAAGATTCCAGAGCCAAGCAG